GGAAGAACAAAGCAAACCTATTTATGCATTCCAGACTTATTTAATTTCAGTTAAATTATGGCAAAACAGTAAGAAAATGAGCAGGTATGATGTTCTTAACTCAATATACAATTTATGCAGCATTTCTGCTACACAGCTCAGTTGTTCTCTCCCATTTTTCTCTTAGGTGACCAAAGTATGTCCTGTTTAATGTATATGCTTTAGGAGTTGATACAGAACTGGGCTTCCGGTGATCAATTTCAATGTATCTGTTATATTTCTGGTCAGTTGTGACACTAATTACATACGGAAAGAGGAGTGTTCGGGAAATTTGGAAAATTATCAGGAAATTCATATCAAGGGATATGACAAGACAGATGCCTGTATCTCTGCCTGCTGCGAGCTTTATCCTCCACTCTGCACTGCCTTTCTCTTGGTCTCTTTTCCTCCTTCCATCTAGAGACTGCTGCTTCAGCTCCCTGGGCGTTGAGAAACCTTTCACCCAGGTGATTTCTCTTTCCTGTTTGTAAATGATCCCCAAGGTACCTTCATAAGAAAATCCCGATAATGTCACAGGACCATACGGCACTCAGGTCGTCAGTGGTGGTGATTTTAAGACAGTTTTTAGAAAAGGGCTGAGGAATTACACAGATAAAATGGGCTACTGTGGTCATCCTTGCTGACTCGTGCTCCAGAATTTAATTTCCAAATATCTACGCATCAAGGTTTAGACGTGCAACCAAGTGAATCTTTAAGAATCTTTAATCCTGAAGTTTTGTCCTAAATCATAGAAAGCTTATGACATCTTTAGATAGAATGTCTTGCATCTCAGCACATACACACATTTATTATGAGAATTAAATTTAACTGTAGGAAGGGGATATTGTCTAGATTAAAAGATACAGAAACATTTTGTTGTGATATTAATATTGTTCAGCTTTCCTACACGCACATATGACTTCCAAATATGCTTTATCTTTCTTCCCTTCCTTTCCTATGTCTGTCTTTAAATAATTGTTTATTCTTGTACCCATTCATCCTCTTATTTGTTTGGAAGTAAGAAAGACTCTCAAAAGTATTATCAGAACATGCGAACACAGGAGGTTGAAAATGTGAGGACCTGAGATTAATTGTGTGGAGGACTAATGAAAATGATAGCATTTGACTCAGAAAGAGTTGTGTATTTCCTCTGCAAAGGTAAGCAACGCTGTTATTGAAATAACCTTAAGTAAAAAGGTGTTTCTGTTGGGGCTCCAAAGTTACTGTGTCAAATTTGAAAGCTGAATTCTAATGTTAAAGGGTAGGAGAAGTGTGAATCTCAGTTTGTTCATAATTGTGATGGTGCTCCTGAAACTTCCACAGCATTCAGATAATGGACATTTCAGATGCATACTTGGCACTGGGTGTCCATCCCTTTTGCCTGAGTAAGATTTGATCTAACCCTCAGATTTTTGTTTTTCTTAACTCTTGTACTGGATGTTAAATATTGCTTGTCTACTATCAATCCTCAATACAAAAAGCTACATAAAGTATCTATGATTGCTCTAATGCTGTTAGATTATCCTTTGGTACAAACTGACCAACTTCAGCTTCAGAATCTTACCACTGCTTTTCTAGTTCTTCCTACTGGTACCTGTGCAAATGCTCACACAAGATTTACTTCAGGAGATCTGGAAAAGCCTCAGCTTAACTCCCTGTGCAGAATTGCTCCTAAACTTAGTAGGAATCTTGTAACTTCAAGATAACGTGAACCATGAGAAGCTTCTAGTCAAGATGTAACTGTTGCTTAGGATAATATTTTTCTACTTCTCTAAATATTGGCAGGATTTTAAGTACAAACGACATTTTAATGTGTTTTCTCATTTCAAGGTGGTTTTTATATTGAGTTGACATAAATTGCATTTGAATTGCTGCTCCTTATTAAGTAACAAATAAGATCTTTCTCAAGGTCAGGTAAAAAGTTGTAAGATAGTCATGTGGGTGCAGGAATCTGCTCATCAGCTCACCATTGGTTCCAACCCAGTGCATTTTTAGGATATATTTTTAGGGCTTTTTTTCTTCTTTTTTTTTTTTTTTCCCTGAGAAAAAAAATGGGATGAGCCAATAAAAACAGTCATGCCCGGGGCATTACAATTTTGCTAACTGGATCAAAACTAGGAGGTAATTTAATTCTGTGCTGTTACTCACATAGTAGATGGCTAGAGCTCACCATAGTTAACTATATCAGCACGCAGATGAATTGCTCTCATTTAAGTAGCACTCATCACAGCAGTTAATAGTCCACCAGAAAAGCATAATAATAGTATAGGAATACAATAAATAGCAAGAGTGCATTTGATTGGCCAGGAATGACTATCTGCTATTCAGAGACTAGGAATTTGCTTGTAGTGCAATTATTATTGAGAAATAGCCCAGCATTAATTACACAAATCATGTTTTCCCAGTGTACAAAGAAATTAATGTAAATAAAAAATAAGGGTCAGTTTGATGAGTGTTTCAGCAATCAAGTTAAAACAATTATTTCAGTATAATTATACATGTGTTTTGGCTAGAACAACTTAATTAAGTGACTCTAGACTGAAAGATAAAAATAAGTGCACTGTTCATCTGGAACACTCTTATTGAAAGTGATAGCATGATACCATTAGGAAACTCAACAAGACAATCTACATTCATGCATTAAGAGAAGAAGTCTGAACATCTGTTTCCCACTATAGAATTCACAAAAGGGGCTTCACTGGGCAGGGAATAAATGAACAAACAATAGTTGGAGAAGGTTATCTCTGACATTTAACAAAATGTTGTATCACAAAAATGACGTAACGTGAGAATGAAATGTCTGAAATAATGGTGTGCTAAAAGTTAGCTTGGCAAATGAAGTACAGATAACAAGAACAAGCTAAACCTCTACCCATCACTCTTTAAAATGTGTACAATGAATATCAGTTTATGAACAGCATACTTTTTTATTCAAGATGTACAAGGTGGCATGAAATGGTTTGAACAGCATACTTTTTTATTCAAGATGTACAAGGTGGCATGAAATGGTTTTGGAGAAATATGCAATAAAGAAAGTTCCACCAAATATTTCTCTAGCCATTAAAAAAAAAAAAGTGACAATTAAAAGATGTTTCTATAAATGTTAAAAAATTCCAGACAGAATAGTCAAACTGAAGAAAAAACAGAGTTTTATTTTGGATGTGACATTTTCTTTTCTTCTTTTCTTTCCATTTCCACAACCACGAGTCTTGGAAAGGGAGCAATAATAAAAGATAAATGGAACCAAGAATCAAGTCGCTGCCAAGGGCTGTAATACAATATCTCAGCATTTCAAGGGTAAATCAGTGTGAACCGCCTTTGCCGTCCCTCTGAAAAAACTATTAAACTTCCGTTCAGTCAATGCGGACTGCTCAAGGGTAGGAAATCGGTGTCAGAGAGGGGGGAAAAAAAATTAAAAAAAAAAAAAAAGAAAAGGGGGGAAAATGAGGGGGGAGGGGGCATTGCAAAGAAACCCACTAAACAACAAACAAAAAACAACAACAACACAAACACACCAAAAAAATCAAACCAACCAAGCAAAAACAAAACCGAGTTTCCCAAAGACAGCATCAAGCGAGGAGGAGGAGGAGGAGGAGGAGGAGGAGGAGGAGGCTCAGCGGCGCCGGGGGCGAGAGGGCAGCGAGGGCGGCCCGGGGGGGGGACGGAGCCCCGGTGCCGCCGGGCCGGGGTGGGAGCCCAGCTGGGAGCCCTGCCTGTCCCCCGGCTGAGGTGGGAGCCCTGCCTGTCCCCCGGCTGAGGTGGGAGCCCTGCCTGTCCCCCAGCCCAGCTGGGAGCCCTGCCTGTCCCCCAGCCCAGGTGGGAGCCCTGCCTGTCCCCCGGCTGAGGTGGGAGCCCTGCCCGATCCGCCGGCTGAGGTGGGAGCCCTGCCTGTCCCCCAGCCCAGCTGGGAGCCCTGCCTGTCCCCCAGCCCAGGTGGGGGCCCTGCCTGTCCCCCGGCTGAGGTGGGAGCCCTGCCCGATCCGCCGGCTGAGGTGGGAGCCCTGCCTGTCCCCCAGCCCAGCTGGGAGCCCTGCCTGTGGGAGCCCTGCCTGTCCCCCAGCCCAGGTGGGAGCCCTGCCTGTTCCCCGGCTGAGGTGGGAGCCCAGGTGGGAGCCCTGCCTGTCCCCCAGCTGAGGTGGGAGCCCTGCCTGTGGGAGCCCTGCCCGATCCCCCAGCCGAGGTGGGAGCCCTGCCTTCCTGCCCGCCCCAGCCAGAGCGGGAGCCCTGCCTGCCTGTTTCCCCCCGCCAAGGTGGGAGCCCTGCCTGCTCCCCCTCCCTCCCCGCCAAGGTGGAAGCCCTGCCTGTTTCCCCCCGCCAAGGTGGGAGCCCTGCCCGCTCCCCCTCCCTCCCCGCCAAGGTGGAAGCCCTGCCTGTTTCCCCACGCCAAGGTGGGAGCCCTGCCCGCTCCCCCTCCCTCCCCGCCAAGGTGGGAGCCCTGCCTGTTTCCCCCCGCCAAGGTGGGAGCCCTGCCTGCTCCCCAGCCCTGCCTGCTCCGCCGCCCTGCCTGCCCCGCGGCGGGGCTCGCTGTCAGCCTTGTGGCGCAGCTCGCCACGCGGGCTCCTTTAAATTGAGGGCGTTTCGTGTGTCTCGGCGGCTGCTCTCGAGTTTAAAGAGAAAGGGGCCGGAGCGAACGGGAAGGTGATCTTTGCCCGGCGGTGGGAGTAGGTGCTTTTGTTCCCTTCCTTCCTCAGCCCGGGAGGCCGCGGCGGTACGTCGGGGGAGCGCGGGGCTCGGTGGGCGGCGGGCACCGCGCCTCAGGGCGGGGGTGGCTGCGCCTCTGTCCGGTCCGGGACACTTGCGGGGCTTTGGGGTGGCTTTTTGTCCTCCCGCTCTCCGCCCGTGGGAGTGTGAAAGCATGGCGGAGGCGGAATGCGAGTGTGCGTGGGTGCGTGGCGGCGGTCCACGCGTGGTTCTCCCGGGGCTCTCCGCGGTGAGGATGCGGGTTGCTGGCGGGCCGCCCCGGGCATCCCGCGGAGGGCCGGGGGCTGCGGGGCTTCGCTCGGTCCTGGCCCCGAGGGGCAGACCTGGGAGCAGCGCTTCCAGCACTCATGGCAAAGCCATTAGCTCAGCCTGGCTGCGGAGGGGCCCCGAGGAGGACGAACGCAGCGGACGCCGTGGCGGTGAGAGCGGGGCGGGCGAGAAGGGATGGGGGGTGGCTTTTACTCCCTGTGCACTTACCCCTGGCTCCAACCTCTGGTTTATCTTTTGGCTTCTCTAGGCAGCCCTGGGGTGCTGGTGGTGCAGGAGGAGCAGGGCGGGTTTGTGTGTCCGCATGCGGCGCTGCGGCAGCAGCAGCCGCGGGAGGCGGCCGAGCCCCGCTCGGCGCCGGGCGATCCCCGCTCGTCCCTCCGGTGGCACAGAACCGGACCCTTCTGTGCCGAAAGCCGCCCTGCTTAGCTCTGGGCTCGCTCTTCGGTTCTAGGTGCACGCAGTGAAGGCTGCTGTCCGTGTCTGGGGTTGCTGTGTGCATCCCGGTGCAGCGGTGGCACCTGAGCCCGCTGTCCCTCGGGGAGTACAGCTCCCGGGACACCCGGGCGATGCACCGCGGGCTCCCAAGTGCAGGGTTAACATACTTCTGGCATTACTTTGCAATGAAAAATGAACGAATCATTATTGGTTTTCCATGTACATTATGTATTTTTTAAAATTTATTTATTTATGGTTTTGTTTCGTTGCAAAGTAGATGCTGTGCCAGGTGTAGCAGTTTTATGACGGTTTCGTGACGTGGATTGTGACTTAATAGGAAGTTTCTAAATAGGACATTTTTAAATTCATACTGTATGGTGCCATAGGCCATCTATCAGGATTATACTGCCCTTGTTGGATCCACGGTCATACTTACCAAAGGTGATGAAGCGCTGAAGAGTCAATACTATCCTCAAGTTCTAGGTGCCACTTACTTTCTCCTGCTGACTTATTTGGTCACTTTATTTATTTTACCTACAGTCTTATTTAAATTGGCACACTTACTATCCACAGTACCTCTTCAACTCCACTTTACACCTCTCAGTTAAACTTAATACTAATTTCAGGACAGGATTTAGAAATGGAACAGCAGAATTAAAAGCAAAGCTGGTGATTGGAAGTCAGCTTGTAGTACTGCCTGCATAGTGTCCTTACAGTAAGAAACACTTCTACTCCTTGTGAGATATGATGTGTCAGTTTAAATATGTATTTTATTTTCTAACTGGTGGAGGTTGAAACTTCTTTTGTACTAATTTTTAATGACTATTTTGCTTAGACAATCAGAAAAACATATAGTAATAGCCAGGCAAAGAGGAATCAACTTCAAAGGTTTTGGACAGTGTTAGGAATAAGGCTCAGTTTCCAGAAGTCATAATTTTATGTGCAAGTAGATATTGAATGCTGCTAAAGTTTTGCTTTAGGAACATTCAATTTGTTGGTATGAGAAAGACTTTCTGCTTTCCTTTTGGTAAGGGAGACATTATCAAGGCAATAAAATTGTTTCTACTAGGCATAGTCCTGAAAATGTCTAGGTTTCCAATGATTAGAACAGATTTTTAAACACAGTTAACTTTGTTTTGGTCTGGCCTCAGACCAAGGGCCTTACAGGTATAAACTATTGGTAAGCTGTTGTGCCAGGTTCTCCATCCTCCCCTCAAAGTACTGCACACATTCATAATGTATATTCATAATGTAAAGGACAAAGGCTTCTTGTGATTAAAACTTACTCTATCAGTGTAGATCACATTTTGATGCAAGCCATGAAAAATTCTAATTGATTAATGAGTTTCAGATGGTGGTTCCCCTTCAGTGCCCCTCCCCCTGCTCCTAATGTACAGTATGTTCCAAGTTAATCTTGGAAAACTCAGAAACCTTGGGCTTGAATTGGTTGTGGTATAGTTTATAAGGATAATAAAATATCTAGAAAAATTAAATTTCCTTACAAAGTTATGCTGCTGCATTTGTCAGCTTATGTTTTATCTGCTTGTTTATTGTAGTGATCAAAGTTAAGATTACATGTAAGGTACCTGTATGATAATGCAGACAAGAATGACCTGTTGTTTCTTATAGAAGGGAAAGCTCTGCAAATAGCTCTGGAAGAGGAAATATGCAAGGTAGTGGCATAATTACTTTAAAAATGATTGGTTTTGTTTTCATGTATGTGAAAGGGCAAAAGGAGAGTGATTACTCTTCTGTAGTAAATTGAAAAATGAAGGTGGTAAAGACTAAGTAACATCTAACAGTGAGTGGCAAGCCTCTGGGTTTTTTCTTACTGCTTCTTTTAGTCCATTTTTAGCATTTCAAGAAAGGGAGCTTTCACAGTTTCATTTGGGAAAGTCATTCCACTGTCTAGCAGATCTCACCATGGGGAACAGTTTCCTGACATTAAAAAATGAAAAGTTTTTAGTTGTTTTTGTGGCTCTCAAAGGAAAGCATTCATATATCTTTTCCTCCCCTCTTTCTGCATATATGTGTGCATATACACATATGTATATATATATGGAGAAACAAGAGCAACCTTTAGTCTGTGAACTGATGTTATACTCTCCAATACTGAAAAATATTTCAACACTGAGACAGGAAAACCAAAGTAAGTTTTAAAATGTGAATGTATTTATCCTTGGTTCTGCCATGTCTGTAAAATGGCACTTGATGATGTGAAGGTGGTGATTGCAATATGGGTCCCAAATTGTGTGCAGCTTCATTTCTACTTGCACAATTATGCATTTTGTTCTGCAGCTTAATCTGTTTATGAACACTGAATCTTATGCCTTTTTTGCCCTCAACTTGCTGTTGCAGTTAGTGGATGATGCACGCAGTCCACTTAAACTCTAGTAAAATTTCAAAAGTTCTGTTCTTTTCCATCTGCTTGAGGTCATTAGAACTAGCAGGGAGATCCAGCAGAGACCCTTGCCAGATACACTCGAGCTCTGTTCTGGCTTTTGATCCTCTGTCTCCTCTCCTTCCAGGCTGGCTGCTTTCCAGTAGCATTACCTTCTCTCTAAGACAGCAGGAGATTGTCTGTATTTATAGCTGATACCCCTCTGTCAAAGCCAATGTACAGTCTAGTGCTCAAGTTCCAGTTCCTTCAGAGAAAAACTTGCTGATCTTGTCTAAGTTGCTGTCTGTTTCCTCCATCACTGACAGTAAAGCAGTTGCACAGTTGTGTGTATGATGTTTAGTTTCTTCTACAACTGGTGGCTAATATGCTTCCTCAGTCATATTATAACAGATCTCATTGCACAAGCTTAAAGCCTGAATATTTAATCCTGATAAGATTTATGACAAATAGTCCCTGTCAGCTGTGCAAAGGGCACATCATGTAGGACCTTTGCATAAGAGGGGATTTCATTGGTCACTGGAGGGACTTCTGCATTTGCTTTATGATGGTTTTCTTTCCCCTCCATAGACCCTTTTAACTTGTTTTCATTCTTTTCTAACTGAACACGAAGAAAAATGCTTGTTTCACTGGATACTTAACTTCTATGCTAATTCTTAAGTCATAAAGAGCAAGTGACTCAGCAAGACTTCTTCATTGCTGACCTAGAAGGATTGTATGTGGGAGCAAGCTGAAAGAAAAGGTTCAAACCACTTTCTGTTTGAGAATTTGGAACAAGGTTGAAGTGACAATGAAACTCATGTGGTACAGAGAGCACTGCATAGCCAGCAGCTACTCAGTATAAGCTGTTATGCATGTATGTATGTAACTGGGTGGGTAATTTGGAGTAAAAACCTGTTGGTTTATATGATTATCTAGCAGGGTGGAGCATATATATTTTCTATGTATGTATATCTATGCATACATGCAAGCTTTTATATATACTTTTTTTTCCCTCCCTTTTTATACTTGGTTGAGGAAAATTATCACAATTTTATAGGTAAGGAGGGTGGTTGGAATAGGAAAGGGAATTGAATCTGGGAATCTGCAACTGTGAGTGCTTCATTGTGCACCAGTTTTACTTTCTAGGTTGAACAGTCTTTGCCTTCTGTGTGTTTTGAGTACAGTGTATCATTCTTGATTCCTTTTTTCCTACCTGTTAACCCCAACAAAAGCCAGTAGAAACACAGAAGATCACTTGTTTGATTCTCATTGCTTTCACCTGATGCTCACTGATAACAATCATCAGACAGTGTAAGGTTATGCTGCTGGCAAAATACAAGCAATGAACTGCAATAAACAGATAACTAAATGCACTACTGTAAAGCACAATAAGAACTTCACTGTTCAGTAGGAGCAAGCAGAGAGAAATAGGAGCCTTTAGTGTGTTGAATCTGATACACATTTCTGGGTGTACTGTAAACCATCCCACACGGAATTCTTCATCTGGACAATAAGGCTAAGAATTTGAGATGCCATCCTCTTATTGAGAGAGGCTGAAAAAAGGATTGTGCCACATAAATATGAACTGTAACAAAATAGGATGAAAAGTAGTCAAAGGCTGTTCCTCATCTACATTCTGAATAGTAAGGGGAAGCAATTGCTTTAAAGCATTTAGAGGTAAGTTTTGTAAATGCTTCTGCATATCACATCAGCCTCAACAGTTTACAGAGAAGTAACATTCTATAAAATATTTGACATGTTTGTGTTGGCTGGTTTTAAACAGCTGTATATATGGTAATTTGATGTTTTTGTTAGAAAAGAGTGAGATTAGGAAACCCAATATTTTTTGGCTACTTCGTTCATCTTTTGTCTGCCAAAAGGAAAGGATGAAATAGTTGTTGGGGCTAGAGACTCGCCTGAGCCGTTGGGATGTATCCTTGAGAGCTGCTGTCTACCTCTGATGCAAGTTAGTCCATTCCCCTGACCAGATTCCTCACTGATATACTGTCAACAAACTTTTCTTCAGTTCTCTAGAAAATAAATATATTAAGACATTTAAGGAAGAGATTTGAAGGTATCTGAGTGATGAAACAAGGACTTGGTGTTCACCACAGGAAGAATCTTCAAATAGATCTTGAAGGAGCTCAGTACTCTTTTGTTGTCACCTTCCCATAACTATCACATTTTGGCTTTTTTGTGGATCTCAGCTGCTGTGTGATGAAGTTCTAATATCTATCTGCTAGTGATGAAGTTCATCTGATGAAGTAGATGAACTTTTTATTGAAATGTGGGTGCTTCAGTACTGAAGTATTGTGAAGGGTTAAGTTGAATTTAATAAGTTTGGTAGCGATGAGAGTTTGCATGAAGGATTATTCAGAGCTTGAAAGTTTCTGATGCTTACAGTTTGATAACTGACCTCCAGTATAACTTGTAGAGTTTGTGACAGGAGATACTGTGCTCCTTGAAAGCTGAGTCTTAATTTTTTAAGAATTAATTTTACAAATCCAAGGTAGGAATTTTGTGGATTTTACTGAAGTGTAGGGCAGTTTCTCAGAAAAGTAGTGGAAAATGAAAAATTTTGGGGTTTTTTTTGAAATTAAAGAAAATTTACACAGAGGTAAGGTTGGCTTGTATGTGGTTTATCTGTAATTCTTCAGGCTCTTCATCAGTATTAACTGTCTCATTCCTCAGTCCTCACTTTGCATTCCCACTGCATACATTATTGTATGTGCATATGTTATTTTAATAATGTGCATACATTATTTGAATTCAGGGCTATTATTTCAAGCAGACCTACTCCCAGTGTGGAGATGCATTAATAATTTTCACCTTCTAGAGACTTTTTTCACCTGGTTTGTATCTTTCCAGTTTCTCATTCTGAGGATGTGTCTTAAGAAAACTACCTTAAACTCAGAATATCCTTCTTGTCCCTCTTTTTTCTTCTTACTACCAGAGTTACTAAGAGACTGAAGCACCCTTGCATCCCCTAAAATCTTTGTTCTCTCTCTTTTCATCCCTGAATGAGTCAAAAGTTTCTTGGGACTTTACACGGCCTGATTGCTGAGTTAGGTCAGTATGAAATATATTTAAAGACAATGCTGTATTTTAGAGACAAACTGAAATAACATCCCTGTTTTCCCAATTCTCTATTTTGCATTTCCATTTAGGTTGGAAGGCACCACCAAGTGTCATCCAGTCTAACTCCCTCCACAAAGCATGTATGAAATGTGAAATTATTCCTAGTGAAGAGGTGCAGGGTCTAACTGCTCCTTTAGTGAAATAGTTCTGCTTTTTCTGTTGTATTTTTCCAATTTGTATGTAAAGAAAAACAAATTGCAGGAATAAGAATGTTTTTTGGTTTTTTGGTTTTTTTTTTTTTTATTTTTTTGCATGTTACCACTGTCATTGCAGAGGTCATTCAGAGGTAATTCAAGAGAAAAACTTATGTAACTTCTGGCTCTCAGTGTATCAGTGGAGGTTATAGACCCCAGAAAGTGGTCAGAATTATTTGAAGGCTCTTTCTGGAAAGCAAGTATGTGATAGATACTTGATCTTTGCCATATAATCTTTGACAGCAACTGGTGTCAGTTGTCTGTCTTGCCTCTGCTCCTATCCAAAATGAAGCAGGATTTGAAAGAGTAATTTATGTGGTTCTGTAGCTTAGAGAAACCTTAAATATACTGTCATTGAAATTCCTTAGCTGTTGGTAGCTTCTAGTCTGAATCAGTCTATTTTTAAAGTGACAGTCCAGATTGATTTTTGCAGAGCTAGCAGTCCAAGTTTTCTCCCTCCCCTCCCTTGCAGCCTGCCCTAAATGAACAGGTATGATTTGAATTTAATTAACCAGGAAGCCATAAATCCAAGCTGACATTTTTACAAAGTCAGTTTCACAACAGAGCTGTGACTAAGTTAAGCACTTAAGTCTGTTTTAAAATCCTTTGCCTTCAAAGAAACTTTGATACATAAGGATTTTTTTTTGTTAGAAAAATGTAAAATCTACTCATAATTCAGAAATATGTGTTTATACAAGAGAATAAATCTTTTTTTATGTATGTTTTTGCTTCTCCCCAATGGAAAATTATTTGTCTAATTTCAGTAAGAGGTATATTTGCAGTGAGTGCTGTGTCTATCTCAAGGGCAAGCTAAACTTCAGGACTTGGGGTGAGGTACTGTCAAAAAGAGCTTATGCAGATCTTTTTGCAAACATGGAGTTTAGTTACATGGAGTAGGGTAAAAAATGCCAGAGTATTTTAATATGAGTATTAAGATATCCCAAATACCATTACATACATTTGGATACGTCACAGCACAATTTTATAAAAAGGCTATTTATTTATTTATTTATTACATTTAGTAAATATTGTCTTTTTTGACAGTGGTTCTAGCAGCAGTGGCTCCTGCGACTGACAGCACTTAGTGCAGCAGGTGGTAAAGATTAGTTTTCTCACCTGAAAAGTTTCAGTAAGTCATCACTGAAGCAGAGGAGAATTTGGGAAGTGGCCAAATTTGGGAAGTGTGACTGACCAACACTAGCTGTTCTGCTGCTTTCTGAAGAAATAATGCTACTGAGTCAATATATTCGGTGTAGTTTTTTCTTTAATAATTTTGAAGCAATAGAATAGACTGTATCCATTTGTTACAGCACTTGTTAATTGTAAATAAGTTTGCTGTAGGAGTGTAATTTGGTTGTTGCCATGATTTTCCTGGGCATGATCCAAAATCTCTGAAGCTCTCCAATGAATCTGAATGGGTACTGGGTCAGGCACCGTAGTGACTTGTTAGCTTTGTGCAAAATGTTTCTTTTAATTTGATTTTAATAATTCCTTGCAGAACATTTTGTTGTATTGGCAACATGTAGCTTGGTGAGTACAAATGAAGTTAACATTTATCTGTATGATTTAATCACATACAAAAAAAATCCAATAACAAAACAAAGTTTCGGTCACTGGTGTGTGCAACCATGTGTTAGATCCATCTCTGCTTGTCTGATATCTGATCTCTTAGACACACAGTTACTGTTGTCATTATTGAATCACAAAATGGTTCATGTTGGAAGGGACCTTAAAGACACCTCATTCCAGCCCTTTCCCCTACCATGGCAGAGACACCTTCCACTGTACCAGGGTGCTCAAAGACCTGTCCAGCCTGGCCTTGAACACTTCCAGAGGTGGGGATTCTTTTCTGGCTGGGATTATTTTCTACAGTTCTAAAAACAGAGCACGGGAGACTTTAGTTGGTATAATGAAGAACTTAGTTTCTTTCTTTTCTTCTCTTTTCCCACAATGAAACAGGGGGACAAGCTGAGCGATGTGCACTGCCCTGAGCCCGAAGGCACGTGGGCCTGGCCTCTCCGACATGCACCAGTACAGTCAGTGGCTCGCCAGCCGACACGAGGCCAACTTGCTGCCCATGAAGGAGGATTTGGCCCTCTGGCTCACAAACCTACTGGGTAAGGTACAGCAAGATGGAATGCAGGTGCTGGGCAGTGTGAGAACTCCTTACGCTGTTAGCTGGGAATTCAGATTTCTTTGGGTTTCAAAAATAAAGTTATGATTATGTAGCTACCATCATATACCACAGATATTAGCAAGGTCAGAAAAGCTAATGTGTAATTTGCCTCCATTGTGTTGCTGTGAGTAGCACAACTGAACATTTTACATTCTGTGTTTAGTTTTCTTTCAAATCTCCTTGTAATTTTTTTTTTGCATGTATTTTTTGTACCTATACCACTAAAATGAGTAATACTAATTGCTGCCTTCACCTGTGTCTTCCATTTTTATTGATAGGCCTCCTAAAGAGTATGGTGTAGTGACTGTCTTGAATAGAAGGAAGCATTTAATAGTTCTTCTCTGACCAAGTGCTCTAGTAATTGGTAATTGCTGCCCAAGGCAATGCATGCTAAGACTTGTGGTAGCCTGAGCATTGAGGGGTTTGTCCTAGTGTAGCTGGGATCTGGAGATTTACTGGTGTACATCTTGGTGAGTGAAGACACAGTTTGCTGTTGTCAGAAGAGGATGCAAACCAGAATTGAGGAAAAAAATTAGGTACATATAAAAAAGAGCAAATAAGATATTCCCTGGCAGGAAGGAAAGGGAAAGTAGTTTGAGATGTGCAAATTATTAAAGAAGGTGGAATTTAGAAACTATGAGCCAGGAAATAGTATGTAGTTTGCAGAGAACTCTTGGGGGAAAATGTATTTTATGTGATCTCTGTAAATACAGAGGATACTTCCAAAGTAATAGATGACTTAGACAATACCTGATCCTAAGGGAGAGACATGCCAGTAATTCCTCTCATTAAATAAAGAGAAGATAAATATGTCAGAAGCTATGTTTACATGAAACTTTCGTTGATGGGATTTTGGAAGAAAATTTGTTGTGCATGGTTTTGGAGGATTTATTTAATTTTTAAAAAAATTTTCTGAAAATCTCTTCTGGTGAGACATGTGCAGTGTTAAACCATTTCAGTGATATCATACAGCAACAGTATATCCAGTGTGTTTCATCAGCACATTCTATATTGCTCTATTTCCTCTTTTTTAAGAGAAAGAAAAGGAAATATCACTTAAGACAGATGTGGTCAATAAAGACAATGTCAATAGAACACAATATTTTGCAGGTAGACTATACCTATTCTTGAGTTATGAATCCACAACTGCAAAAATGGAAGGTGTTTTAAATGACTTCTTTGTATGGTTCTTCCATTTAAATTAATGTGTTTTGAATACAAAATTCAGAACTTTTCATTCCAATTATCACAAGACAGTAATCCAACTGACTGTTTTTTGAATTGGAAGCAGCACATTCCATTAAAGATTCAATATATTGTTTAAATGTTTTGAACAATGAAGTTTTAGTGATCCACTCTAAAACAAATAGAAGCTTGCTTGCAGGTTGTAACAGAGTTCTCCCAGTGATAAGTTTAGGAATGAGGTCACTCTTTGAGCAGGAAAGTAGCAACCAGCAGGAGGTTCTGAAATGCCAGCTGTAATTAAATATCTGATTTTTCATATGGACACCAAGTTCTGCTCTGCAGAACTAAATGGGCACAACCTTCTTTTAATTAAGCAGCATATACAGTTCATTTGCTTAATTCATTCCCCCATACCTTCTTGCACCAAGCTCTCTTTTTCTCAGAGTTTATGCTGATGAATTGAAATTATAGTGTTTTGTTAGAGTGTTTTGAATTCCTATGTAGACAATATTATTCAAATCAATAATTCAATTAAGTTAAAATTCACATTCAAAATAAATGAAGTGTGAATTAAAACAATTATTATTCATAAGAGTATATTAACTCAGAATTCAAATTTTGTTTAATTACTGCATCATTTGGATAAACTTTTAATAGAGAAGGTAAGTGTGAGCATGCTGCTGTACAGTAAAATAGAAATGAATATACAGCATGCATTTTTCAGCATCCAAAAGGATAGAAGAATATGGAAGGCTTTTTTTGTTTGTTTTGGGTTTTTTCCTGTCTTCATGGAAGAAATAATGTATTTTGAATTAATGGGCAGTAGATCTTTACATGCATGGATGTGCAAGTAACATGGAGCAGATAATACTCTATGTATCCACATCCTAGCTTGTTCTGTATCTTGTGTGGCTTCACTGTAAGTGGCCTTATTGCACCTTGCATGCAATAAGATTTCTCGATGTTCCTTCTTAAAGGAAATTAATATGCATTTCATTTAACTTTTGCCATTTTGTTTCATTTATATTTTTGTTATTCATCTGTACTAGGACTCAACATGGACACATAATCTTTTCAAAGAAATATACATTTAAAAAAATTAGTATTTTAGGCAAATACGGGGGGGGGAAACTCTGAGGTAGTTTGATCAAGTGATGGTCTTTTAGGGGATTTTTGTGGTGGGACAGTTATGTCCTATAGTGTTACTGGAAGTTGGAATGGTGATGGTTTTGCAGCAGCATTGCCTGATGTGGGTACAAAATCAAACTGGAAAACATTATCAGGATATTGCACTTTATAATATGAATAAACTGTTTTGATACCAGATAGAAAGTAGGCATAGCTAGAATTTGACCTTATCCAATTGATAAATTAGAAAAGTGAGATACATAGTGTGGCTGGGAAATAACATTGGAAGAATTTTTAATTCTGAGACTTTGCATATTTAATTTAACAAGGGACATTGTTGTGGGGGTTTTTGTTTAGTAATCACTAGTACTTTTGTGTGCACATTGCTAATTATTTTTTGGAACCATGTCAGAGAGACTCAGAGCTTCTGAGAGGACAGTTTGTCTTTACAGCTCCATTGCTGAATAGATTTTAGCTGTCTATACTCTGAGGGATGGAAAAAGGACACTGCGGATGAAATCCATGTGTCAGATAGGATTAACTCATATGATATTGTACATTAGAAGATTTTCAAAGTGGGACATGTGAGTGTTGTTGTTTGTGTGCTGGAAAGGAAGGTTGTAGCCATAGATGTGTCTCCTGTCCTTGCTTCTTTCTGTTGAGCTTTAGTGCCTCAGCCCAGAGTGGCAGTGACAAAGCTAAGGAGATGTGTTAATCTAGCTAGTTAATCTAGTAAATTAATCTAGCTGACTTGCAAGTCATGATGATCTCTGAGCCTTGTTTCTACTAGGTGTAGAGCTAACGAAGCATTTGGGAATGCTTTCACTTCTGAAAAACTCCAAATTTGGTGGACTGTGTATATACTTTAGTAGAATGTTCTTGTGGATACTGAAAAGTTCTATTCCACCCTGAGCAAGCTGCATGTGGGAATTAACACACTTGGGCCACAGAACTCTTCTAGTAGAGGCAAAATGGCAATTTGAAAGATTTGCTTGTCTGCTTTACTCTCTTGTATTGTCTTGTTTTCTTTTGTGTGTCTGCAGAAGCTGAATGGCTGACTTGAGGAGGAGTGAGCCTCCTCACCAGCCTGTATGTAGGACAGGTAGAGAGATGTCACCTCTTTGGCAGTTGTGCAGACCTCTAATCTTTTTCCCCATTTACAAGCTGCAGAATATTGTCAATGTAGGTGAACCTGGTGGGAAGAAATGATGTCTGATTCCAGTTCAGAAGGCTGAATGATTTATTATAACTATACTTTATATTAAAATACATTAATATTATTATACTTTATATTAGAATACATTAATATACTATTTAAAGGAGGTAATAAAACTACATCCTCATTTTTCTAACTGCTGTATTTAACTCACTCACAACTGGTGACCCTCTCTGAGAGCCCAGCCCCAAGTGGGTTGGATTGGCCATCAGGCTCAAACAATCCTCACCTGAATCCAATCAAGCACTCACCCCAGGTAAGCAATTCTCCAAACACATTCCACATGGGAAAAACAAGGAGCAGAAATAGAAGTTGTTTTCTCTTTCTTTCCTCTGTGCTCCTCTATGAAAAAATCCTGAGAGAGAGAAGAATGTGCCTGCCACACAGAGGGTTATATTTTCTTTTTATTCTATCCAGCTTCATTTAGCACATGGGACTGACTACACCTCAGGCATATGTTGGGTTCCAGGGTTTCAGTCTGGAGGCCTCTTAACAGAAGAGGGCTTAAGAACCTCAAAGCTGATGGGCCAGGTAATGCAAGATGCTGATAAATTGGACATGTAAGCATTGAATATTGTTTGATGCATGTAAAAGTTGCTTGGGTGAAAAAGTGAAGGAGGCTTGGAGGAAAGAAACAGGTGAGGATGTTAGGAGAAGCATCAAGTTTGAAGACAAGGCTAGGTATTTAAAAGGTTGAAGGAGGTGTACAGTTTGAAGTTGGAGAATGGTGAGTCTTCTGCAAGAAAACTGTCTTTCTTTGATTCTGAATGAAATCTGTGTCAGCTTAGTGTTCTTGCTCACCTTGTTGCCCAAGAGGATTTTGTAACAGAACGGGTATTTTCAGGATCATTTGTTCAGATTGATCCAGTGGGAAATACAGGTTTTAATTGTCTGAGTACCATCTGAGTACCAAGATATTCACAGTACTGATACCTCCAGTAATTCTACTGACACTGATATAGTTTCTTATTGAGTTGCTTTATCATTTTCTTTATTATCAGCATGGCTTTGGATTTTTTATATGTCTCATTTCAAGTAAGCAATAATGTCTCAAAGATTTCAAAATTATTTCTCCTACTGTCAACTCTTGTAGGGAACAGAGTAGTCTTGTCAGAAAAAAACAGTTTTGTATATGCATAGTCATTGGCCTTGGTTTTCTTTGTTTTTATTACATTTTGTTTTCTTGCATTTATATGCTATGTGAATGGAGAGGATCAGGAGCAATTGTTTCAGTAGTGCCTCAGTATTGTAGATGTTTCAGGGATGCACTTCAGTGAAATATTTCTACTTGCAAACTAGTAGTTTTGTGTTACTATATGAAATATACAATTAAAATAGTCCATCAGCAAGTTGTGAGGCTGGAGTCAGTCTCACACTGTACTTATTACACTAAGTGTAGGAATTTACTAGATTTGGGTACCTGGGTCTTTAAGTCCATCTCCTCTTCTGAAGGCTCTGGATGTCTGAGACCTGTAAGGAAAACTTTATCTTCAACCTCTTGGGCACACACCCAAGGCATAAACTCTCTTCCATCATTTTTTCATGGACCTCCAATCTGATTTTATTAGGTCCCCCAGGACTGGGTGACCTTAGGGATAGTTGCTCACAGTTTGCAAGTGGTCGGTGTTCCGGTGCAGCTGTTTAACTTTTTAAGAGGAATCTGGTGGTTGTGGTAGGAGAGAGGGTAGGCAGCACTTGAGAGGTTTCAGAAAGCCTTCATATTCCTGGATTTTCTTCTTATACTTCCAGTGTTGGTTTTTTATTATACTTAATGTTATTACCATTCTATAAAAACATTGCAACTGCTTTCTTGTAATTATAGGGGGAGTTGTACATTTTTAATGGAGTTTGATGTTTTTTCCATACAAATACATGGACCAATTTTTTTCCTCAGGTTATGAACATTACTCTTACTTGAATCAATACATTTCTACTGTTAAATATGTCAGCGTGTCTGTTTTAGCAAAGAAATGCCACCTTATGAAGCCATAAAATACAGTGAACTGAAAGCTGACACCTAATATACTTTTCATTGGAGACAGATGTTCAATGCAAAACTCATTCTTTCAGATTTCATAAAGGCAAATAGGACTCAAATAATCCAGTTTAGTGTACAATATGCAGTGACCAAACTGCTAATGCAATTCAGCACTTAAAAGAATATAAATATATTGTTAAATAGCAGAAGAAGACAACCAAATTTTTTAATGTCTTTGTAAAAAGAGAATATCCATAGATAAGTTTTAAGGCTTTTATAACATTCTGTTATTATTAAATGATACATCTATAAATCATAGGAAAAAAGAGATATGTAGAATGTGGGTTTTTTTGTTTATCTTTGTGAAAATATTATGTGTTGCAAATCAAAAAGTTTTAGTCTGTTAAAGATACACTCCTCTTCAAAAAATTTATTTCAAGTATTATAAGATGTAATACTCAAGCAGTTCCTGAAGCAGAGTTATTTTTAAAACTTAGCTTTCTAGTGACTTTAGATCATTTTATAAAAATGCTGATGGGGCAAATAGGAAAATATGTAGGCTAGAATGGTGGCAAAGTATTTTGAGATGCTGAGCTGTTCTGCTTTTTTATGTCTGGGCTATTATAGTTTCATTCCTGGCTTCATTTAATCTGGAGATATGGCAAAAATATTATCAATTAGGCATAAGCTAACTCTGCATGTCTGCAGTGCTATTACTGCTCTTTTGCCTGGAGAAGTCATTTATGCATACAGGAGCTATAAAGTGGGCTACATGGCAAATAGAATTAAGTGGGAATAATAAAAGGAAAATCTTCATGTTAAAAAGATATTTCTGAAGGAAAATATGTTAGGAAAAAAAATTAGCTTCAGTGAAAAACAGAAGTGTGCTGTATCTGAGGATGGTTTGCTGCAATAATCTTTATTGTTTTTATCTTAACTTACCAAACTGAAAAGACTCACATTTTGGGTTTTGCCCAAAAGATACTTTAGTATCTCAAAGCTTTCAGACAAGGGCCTAGAGAAATCAGCTTTCCTTTAGCATTTTTAAATCATACTGCTTTATAGTGCTGCTATCTTCAGTATTGTGACATGGAGTATCAGGTTACAATGCATCAGCAAGATGTTCAGTACTAATGTATATATACTTCATTTTTGTTACTTTTAATGTTATTTTTTTCCCCCCTCTATCCTTAGTAAAAAAGATATGGGAAAGCTTCACTTTTCCTATTTTGTATGACAAAAAATTGCAGTGAAACTTACTTTTCCTATTTTGTTTGATAAAAAATTGCAGTGAACCTGTTCTAAACTGATGAATATTCTCAGTTTCCAGACATCTCATGGAAGCAGGAGTGGATGTGGATGGGATGAGGAACCAGTCTCACTTCAGTTTTTAAATAGTCTTCTTTTTTCTTTTTTGGCACATTAGATTATTTTTGCTAATGCATGCTGTGTAACAGCCTATGAAAAATTAGTTCGTAGTATTATTTCCTAAATGGTATATTTAAATACTGGAGAGGAAAAAATGCTGTCATAGCTGGAAGAGCAAGAATTATGCCTTGATATTCTCTTGATGTGAGTGGAAGTTAAAGGGGCTGAAAAACACAGTGGCTTGTCAACATAGTGTCCAAAGTAAAGGGAAATTTTTCGGTAGAAGTGTGAAAAACACATCATCCCCTCTTCCAGGGGGATGTAATTACCCTGTTATGTAAGGGTGTCTGTTATGGAAGGCCTGCTGTAGAAGAGAGGACAGTTCCTGCCAGCTGAAGTACTGTCATATAGCATGTTATAAGAATTTCTATAATTGAAAAGCAGTGTATTTCAGTTTTCTTCTTTTAGTGAAAGTTTTGATCCGTGTGCAAGTAGGTGTATGACATGAAATTTTACTCTCCATTATTTTGTTATGTACCTATCTTTACTTCTGAAAAAGAATATTCATAGGAGCATTGCAGTCACTATCTTGTCTACTTCCTGCAGGATCAAGATTTAAGAGTCAACTAAAAATACTCTCCTTTTTGACATGTTTTTCTACTTCTGTTACAAAATCAACTCTTACCAATTCATGCTATAACTATACATACACACTGATGTAAACCATTTCCTGCTGTACTCTCCCTTTTAAAACATTATGTTAAAAGCACTGGGTCTTCATAGGAAAAGTGAAATACACGGGGCTGGATATGCTAGAACTATTTTTCCAATATCACATGCCTTCCCAAAGAAAGAATGGGGTTTTTTTCATAATTTGCTGTATATCTACCAGTAAAGTAGTATTGAGTTTATTCATAAACGATTCAAAGTAATGCAAGTTTTTAAGTTAAAGCTTTTTTCTTCCTTTTTTTTTTTTTTTATTTTTTTTTTATTTGTCTTTTTACACAAATACATTCTGTACCATTGCATGATTTCTGCCATGTTAACTTTCTGTTTGATGTTCAGGTAGAGAAATCACCGCAGAAACCTTTATGGAGAAATTGGATAACGGTGCCTTGCTTTGCCGGTTAGCTGAGACCCTACAGGAGAAATTTAAAGAAAACAGCTTTGATGCAAACAAGCCTGGCAAAGTAAGTGTTGCTCAACACTCTAGCATTTAATATTAGTATCTGATGTATTCAATCATTTTGTTACTGAGGGGTTTTTTTTAACAGTTAAGAGATTTTATATGTGGAGATTCTGCAAATGGATGGGGAAGCGATTGCTCTGTGTAGAAAAATTACTATATGAAATTGATGGAAATAGTGCTTATTTGGTATTTATTTAAGTATCTATGCAAAGCAGTTACTCAAAAAGTACTTGTAATATGTGGAGAAGAAGAATAAACCAGATCTAGCAGTGGGATGTGGTAGGCAATAGTGAAAATATGATCCTTCTATTTATTTTCAAGGGGAATATTAAGTAGCTGTGGGAAGGTATCTTCTCCTCTAAGAGCAACTCTAGGGAGACCAACAATAAAACTCTATAGTTAGATTGGTGCCTTGAGTTTAAAGATCCTTTTGGTGTACTGGGAGGGGTTTCAGTAAAGAGTTGAAGGAATTTTATGGAAAATGTAAAACTTACAGGATACTTAGGAGTTTTGGAAGGATCACTTGTTTGAACACAACCTTGTTTTAATTTAAGCTATTCTCATGGGACAGTCTTACTGGGAAACATTTGAGAGTGCAGCAAGTTCATTTCTTGGAGAAGTAGAATTAAATGGTTGACACATTAACACATTCAATGTGAAACTGTTTTTATTTTTCTGGTTGCATTCAGGTACATCTTCCTTGAAAGCTAAAACAGGAAAATAAAGAACAGATAAAAAAGAGGCCAAGAACAGAAATCACATAATGCATTTTCTGTTCTTGATATTTCATAACTTGCCTGTAGCAGAAATTAGGGCACAGCATAAATTTTATCAGCTGGTCTGAGAACTGAGAGTCTTGTGTCAGTTGCACCTGTGTAAGTTGTTTTTCTTGGTTCCACGTTCATAATTGTTGTTATAGAAAAAATTGTCTGTCATATTTCCTAGTTCAAATCATAATCACTTCTTTAGTAGAAGTCATGGGTAACTTTGGAGTTCCTCTTCATAATGTGGTCTGCCTTGTCTTCACCTAAGTGTCATGGAGTTTTCAAGTGAGAAAACACATAGGGCAGCCTTTTTGCGTGAGCCTAGGAACTAGCTAGGCAGAAAGAAGAGGTACTTGTACTGTTTTTTGTGTTCTAAGTTCCATTAGAAGGCAATTAGGCATTTGCAGTCCCATATGTGGTCATTATTTAGATTTGTTGGTCTTTATTTATCAGGCTGATACAATTGACAATGCATTTAAAGGGAGAAAAAAAATCTACCTCACTGCTATTTTCTCAATGTATGTTATTTCATACTTAGTAAGAATTCAAAGAAATGGCAGAATAATAGATTTGTATCATTTTATACCATTAGGGAGCTATTAATCATTTCAAATTTTAATTCCCTGTATAGCACTCTTGGGCAATAGGACTAGTCTTCATAGTGAGAAATCTGACTTTCTGGTGCCAAGACCATTTATGAGGAGATAATGCTGTACGAAATTTAGCATGGAAAGAATTCCACAATCCTCCCCTGAATCATTTTTATGCATTTTATTAATAATATATGTGGAATTTTGAAGCCATTTGACCCTTGCTCTGCGCAGGATAACAGAAAGATATTCTTTCACCAAGGTGTTCTGATGACTTCACTGGTAGCTGGGAGAAGCCACTGATTTCTACTGAGTTCAGCCTCTGTCAAAAGAGATAACGAACTTTTTTATCTGTATATGTAACTTCACATTTTTTTAGCTAGAAGCAGCTGATATAAAATGAGCCAGAAGGATCAGTTTGCTTGCTGCACCAGCTTGTGTCTGAGTGAGGATGCATGATAAGGGTATGGTTAATGGAGGCAGTGTGTGTAATCTTAACTAAACCTTCCACAAGCTTGAAGATCTGGTCTGTTTTATAAGCAGAGTTTTACCTTCTATGTGAACTTGTTCTTATGGAAAAGCTTCATAATAGTTTGGGCTTAGTTTTGTCTTAAAGAAAGATTATATATCCTGCTCTGATTGATATGTACTACTGATCAGGAATTCATTGTGCAGCTCTTTGGGGCTGTCTGGCCAGTTTAGCAACAATAGCAACAGATTTAAGAAGGCATTAAAAGCTAGTATTACATGCACTGACTCGTTAGTTTTTTGTTTTGTGCCATAATTCCCTAAATTCATACTGCAATACTCTACAAAATATCAGAGATTAAATCCTATTGCTTCTGGTTTAATAGCTTGTGCAATAAGTTTCAAGTCAATGTCCGTTTTGCAGTTAGTTTGTTAACTAAACTATATCATTCCCATTCTTGTTAGCAAGCATTGACCTTCCTCCAGATTTCAGGAATTCCCTAGGCCAGCATCAGTTATTTTGAATGTGGCATAAATTAGGAAAACAGAGGTCAAAAAAGTTCCCAAAATATTGTGTTTTCCAAATCTGGAAGGAAGATTGTCATGTTGATATCAACACTTCCTTTTTTTGTCATGTGGAAACACTTGTGGGTACTGGGGACATTTTTCAAAATACAAAGGGAACTAGTGGTTATGTAACTTTGGGACTCAGTGCTTTAAGAGACTGAAAAGGAGATTAAATGGGTTGTGATCAAGTAGTAGTCTTCTTTCCTTAAGAGTCAGAGGCAGGCAAAAAGGCATAACTTTTTATGCATGAAGGAAACAATGGAGTTGCTTTTATGAGTGACTGGATAGGTTAGGATGCTTGAGTGTGGGAAGAGGGGTGTGTGATGGAATTTGCAAAATCAGGAATGGTGTGGTAAATAGTCAGTTTCTATACAAAAGCTGTGGGACATTAAAGGAAGCTGGTGGAAGTCAAACAAGAAAAAGGGGGACCTTGTTTACATCCAAGTTGGAAAATTATTGTCAAGGAGTGTTTAAATTGAATACATTTAAAAGTAAATACTGAATAAGGTATTGGTGAGAGATCTTTTGGAAGGCTGAATGCACAGAAAGCCCACCCAGAGGAGGAAGTCCCTATAGCTGAAAAGTATTAGAACTTGAGAAAGCATTAGGGTCACTCAGAGGTTCTGTATGTTATTGTTTCTTGGGATGAATACCCTGCTGGTTGTGCTGGTGAACAAAGGGAATTCTCTCACAAGAGTCAAGCATCAAAGATATTATTTTGAATTATATTTGGATTTTTTTTTTCCGTATAAAGCCTTTTTAGGACTGAATCCCTGCATCTAAAAATACCACCTGGGCCACACTCCGCTTTGATTTTTTTTTTTTCAGGCGAGTGATGTGGAATCTAGAGTACAGGAGTTTGGCAGCCTCTGGTGCCATATAGGCAGTCTCTGCACATTGCTATTGTGAGCCTAATGCCATAATAAGCACCTTTGGATATCATAATAGGTACTCTGTGTCTTCCATGGCTCTCACTACTTTGCTGCTTGATTGGTTAATGCTCAGTAATAAGATATTAAAAGCATTTCAGTTTCTAAATAGGAAGCATTGAAAAATTTTTCATTTCAGAAGATGTTAGGTCCCAGGATTCTTTTGCAAATCCCAGAAGACAGTGTTCTTCATTGTTAAGCAGCTGAACCACACTTCAAAACCTGATAATTCTGAAAGCATTGATGTTGTATCTGATCCTTTGCTACAAGCAGACAAAATTTTTGAGTCTTAGATGAAAATGGATTTTTTAAACAGGGAGGGCAGTGTGACAATACAATGTATTTTCTAAGAAATAATTTTTTCCTCTTTCTGGAGATTTTTAGAGTCATAAATCTAATAATGTATGTTTATGAAATGACAAGCAGATGACTGATGTCAATCTTAATAAATGCTCAAGATTTGTGTAGTAGCAAGTTGTTGAAACTACCTGTGCTGGTGCTAATGGAGTATAGCTTGAAACTACAGACTTACTCTTATAGCAGCAGGTATTCCATAAAAGTAATTAATGTTGCTCTATGCCATTTTGTAATTTTCTCCCATTGACTTGTGTTTCTTCTTCACAGTCTCCTGTCAGTATTTGACTGACAGATAGTTAATTTGAGAATTTCACAGCTGTACAAATAAATCCAGAGCATCAAGACATGTGCAGTATGCACAGAGTCTACATTGGATTTGGTTTGGCTTAGTTTAGTAAGACTGGTAATAAAGAATTTTAAATAAACATATATAAATTGTGTTAATTGTTGTTACCATTTTTGTTGACAGGGCACAGTAATGCCTGTCATCCTTGAAACTGCCACCATCCTCGAAACTGCTGATATATTTACAAACACTCCACTTAAAACTGTGTCTTCATGAAGCAGGTTGAAAGTGAATTATCTTTGAGAGTCATGTTATGCATTTTAAGAGCTACAATTAAAAGCATCTGTACCAATTATTCAGAATTAGACCTGGAATCTGGATCTTGCTCTTAGACCTCAGATGGCCAAGCTGAAAGTCTGATCTAATGAACATGGTGGTTTTATTTATACTGTAGGCTTCAGTTTCTCCAGATTCTCTGTGTCCTGTAGATGAGATGAATGTGAGGTGTTCTGTAACCTTGGTGCCTTGAACCTGTGTGCCCAGCGTGAGGAGAGTGATGTCAGGGTCACAGCACCTCTGTGAGTTACCAATCTGACTCTGCAGTTGAGAATTTCATCAATGGGGCTGCATGAATTGTTAGGCTATGAGCAGATCCTTTAGGGTCTGCAGCAGCAATTTGCTTTTCTGCACACTTGTACTTTCTGGATTTATTTTGCAATGAAAGCTGATGGAGATAATTCTAATCATATGCATATTAGATACGGCTCTCAGTTACTTGGGAGGATTAAAAAACTACAGCATTGTCTTTTTGTGTCTTAATCTTTCTAGTGGCAGACTGATGTGGATGTGAGAGGAAAAGAATCATCTTGCAAAATGATTCACAAGTGCTAGAAGGGATAATTTCCACAGGACTGTAAAGGTGGCTGTTAGAGACCTCTTTGTGTGTTTCTCAGCTTGCTCATTCAGCTGGGTTGCTACCAGGTTTCTTGCAGATATTTTAGGATTTGTCTGCAATAGGCCACATGCACAAACCTTCTACG